GGATGGGCCTTCGAGTGTTTCCAATTTTTATTTAGATTTTGTAGTCTCTTCTTTCTTTTCTTTTTTAGTTCTGTTTGGGTGAGGGCAGTTGAAGTGGGAAAACACCCAATATATTTTCAAATTCACATGGACCTAAGTAAGTAAATCCCTTGAGTCAAGCTAAACCATTCTTTATTACTGAATTTTAAACACTTTCCATTTAGAAATTCAGAGGACTAAATAGAGAATATTGATAGACTGCTAAAATGTTGCCTATAGTCAACGGGAAGTAAGAAAAAAACATTAAAATGCTTAGTTTTTAACCAAATAACCATCAACAAACTATTAAAATATAAAATTGGTACAGATTTCTTCACTGGTATTAAATTTTGCTCTACTTATTAGTGATAGACTATTATTAGCTACTTTGACAAATAATATATCTAAGAATTATTCTTCAATTTACCGGATAATAGGGAAAGACAACTCATAGCTTTACTCAATCAGATTAACAATTTGTTACCTCAACTGTAAATTTAAACTGTGATTCAGAAATAATTATGCATCAAACTTCCATTCATACCATCCATTTATTTCTTAGGAAAACAGTTCTTTGGAAAAAAAATTTTACTTGTTCTTGTCATATACTTTCCTGGTTTGATAACTGAATGATTTTTCCATATTTAGAAGAGATACTTTCCAGTAACCCAAATGATCCTCAGCCTGGTTTTATTATTATTGTTAATGTTATGTACTTTTTGACCACACCACATGGCATGAAGGATCTTAGTTTCCTGACATGGCATGGAACTTGTCCCTGTTGCAGTGGAAGTGCAGGAAGCTTGGAATCCTAACCACTGGATGCCAGGGAAGTCCCCTCAATCTGGTTTTAAATGGGTAGTAAGTCCATGAGGCTGGGGGCTGTACCCTAGCACCAAGCACAATGCCTTCTATAGAATATAGGAGTGCTCACCTCATATTTACTGAATGAATGGTGAAATGCCAATCAACTTCTATTAGACAGTATTTTTGAACTTAGATTCAGCCATTCTAAAGTTCTTTATTTTTTTTTTCCTAGAAAATCAGTGACTTCCTTCAGTCTTTGCCTAATGTGTATATCATGTTATGTCATGAATAATAAATTCTTCTCTTTAATCCAGAGATGTGTATCTTATGACCAGAATTCCAAAAGGGCAAATGTATGTGCTAAAGACAATCAATGTCATTTATCTCAAGTCATTAGCATTTGGCATGATCCATTGCTGCTTTAAACAAACTGTGTAACGATAAATACACCTCTGTTTTTATTGTCATTATTTTGAATATTAACAGAGAAAAAACACTCCTTAACTAAACAGACTTTCCTGTAGTTCACTGGAACACGGGACGTGAAGCCACAAGATGTGAATGAGGTCTCGTTCTACTCTTCATCAAGTTCAAGTATGAATATGAACAAGATTCATAACTTCCCTGGTCTTCTATTGATAAATAACACCTGATTCAGAAGGCGGCTGTTGTGAGGATTAAACATGACCAAAAGCTCTAAAATATTCTACACACTTTTTTCTTTTCAAATTTCAAGAGAAAATAGTTGAGTTGTTGACTTTCCTCATGTCTACACGACTAAGACGCGTTTGACAGGAGATGAATGGGGACAGACACTCAGCACATCCTCTTCTTGTTACCAGATCCAGTTCATATTAGTATAGTGCTAGATCTCAATGCTTGCTTCAAAGCTGCTGGCTGTGCCCCAATGAAGAAATTTCTAGTGGAAATGTTTAGAAACTAATTAAATGAACTCTAGGGAGTCTGGGTGTCACTCTTGCATTTGTGATCCAGCCCAAGATGTATATCCACATACCCATTTCTATTCTCTTATGATCAATTTCAAGTTTTGAGTTAAAACAATCTTGTGGCAATTTATATCCATTAAGATGGTCAGCAGAACTGAATTAACTACACCTGGGACTGTGTTATTTTGAGTTCTTTCAAATAGCCTTTCCTCATTGATGTTTGTCCCTAGTCACTGAGCTAGGTGATACTGAGTGGGCTCTCCCAGCAGCAGAAACCTCCAGGGTCCCTCAGGGAGTTAGTCTGTGTCCCTGCCACTCAAGCAGTGCTTCTCAAACTGGGGGTGTGTTTTCCAGGGAATACAAAAAGAGGTATGTAAAGTTAAGTGAGTATCCATTTCGGTAGTTGGTGAGTACTGTAAGAAAAAACATCAACTCTTTTATATTGAAGCATATGCTATGAAGTAAAATGCAGCATTTTCATGACTTTTTAACATAAAACATAAGACTTTGCAAGATCTCTGTGCTTGGTATATTCCCAGACCAGTCCAGGCAAATACGTTCATCCTCTGAATTAGAGGCAGTTAGTTCACTGAAAAGGTTTAGGACGCACTGCACAAGAGCTTCTGGGAACCCTTGGTGCTTTCTTGCGAAACGACAAAGTCAAAAGTTGTGTTTTTGTGGGTTTTTTTGAGGAATGTTTTATTTTATTTTTTCCTAGCCAAAGACGTTTGGCTCAGAGGGGCTAAGAAGAATTGAAGGTTAAATTTTCCATAGGAGGTTCTCCAAAATTCTAAACTTAAAAAAAATAATATTAACAGAAAAAAGTTTTAGGGAGAAATCTTTTGGGGGAAATTCTAGAATTCCTTATCTAGGAAAGATTTTTAATATTAAACATTCTGGAGCAGGATTCTCAGGTAGAAGGCCTAATGGACACAAGACAGGTTGGCATTAGTAAACTATCAGATAAATTTTAAAAAACGAGATTCATCAATACAGAGACATCAGAAAATAACTGCTTCATGAGACTATGTAAAGAAAATAATTTTCATGACTTATTTGCTATTCATCTAACAGCAGATATATCTGTTTACTTGAAAAACTATATATAGAAAAGTCAGACACTCTAGTTTTACAAAAACTGAGCAATATGTAGTTTTAGACACTGAAATAAGTATGACTAATGTAAATATCAATGATTAATGACCATACACTCTTAAAAGTTGTTTTGAAACAAACATAAAAACCATTAGGAAATTCTAATAAGAACAATGGAAAAATGCTTAAAATTATTTTTAGCAGTTCTTGGATTTCAACTAAGAACCATCCTGGTTTTCTTATCTAAGATATAATGACCAGATTTTGTTAATAAAGACATGTTATTCCTTAAAGCCTTAAGTTAGATTCTAAATATTTGGGTTGTCTTTTTCTGATGTGTTTTTTCCTTTAAAATATAGGATAAAATTTGGAATGTTTTTCCTTAAACAAAAAATTGTGCTTTAAATTTGTCCCAGAATTTTCCTGTTTCCCTGAACTATACACCTGCACTCACACCCACCCACACATCCACACACACATACAAAATGTATGATTCGGAGGCAAAACTTGGACATTCCTGAGAGCTCAAGCAATCACATTAATTTGAACTCTTAAGGTAACTTAGAAATAGTTTGTCTTAGTTTTTATTGGAGTAAAACAGGCTAAGAGAGGTTTTCAAGATTTACTCAGGATTACCCAGCAGGTAGTTAGATTTCTGGAGCTACAGCTTTGATTTCCTGTAAGGCAAAGTGGATCCAAATGAACTGGCTTCTAGCACAGTCTTAACCAACAAGGCAGCCACCAGCAAATACCCTGTGTGTGTTTGTGTGTTGACATGACACTCAGGTATGTCCAACTCTTTGCCAGCCCATGGACTGTAGCCGGCTAGGCTCCTCTGTCCATGGAATTTTCCAGGCAAAAAACTGGAGTGAATTGCCATTTCCACCTCCAGGGGATCTTCCGACCCAGGGATCGACCTGCGTCTCTTGCGTCTCCTGCATTGGCAGGCGAATTCTTTACCCCTAGAGCCATCTGAACTGAACTGAGCGCCAACTACCCTAACATCTGTGCATTTCACGGCTCTCAGTAAAAGTGGTGGAAATATTGCTTTCAATCCTCCACCACTTGGGGGCGCTGGAAACGTGAGGGTGTGTTTCTAGGTGCTGGAATTACAGGATGGTGCTGCTGGCGTTTGCAGCCCCCCTCACCTGGCCGTGTTCCCTCCTCACACTGGGAAATACTGAGATCCATTATCAGGGCAGGGTTCTTTCTAGGTAACTCATTTCCAAACTCACCTCTATCTATGTGGTCGGGGTGGGTGGGGTGGCAGTCTGACTTAAATAGCTCTGCTTTTAGTTTGCCAAAAATCACTTTTTGGAATTCCCATTTTGGCATATGTACATTCTATCTTTAGGTTTTTAGACAGAAAAGGTTATGTTGGATACAAGTGGAAAATAGTCATCTTTAGGTGGCCAATATATAGCTTTTGTTTTTGTTTTTTAAAGAACTGATTTACAAAAGTGGAGTGCGATTAAAAAAAAGTTTAGTTGTGTAATATCACCTTTTAAGTATGTTCAGATTTTTAAAAAATGCATCTCTGTACAGGCTGTGACATGATACATACTTTCCCCCACAATATTAGGGATATGTAATTGACTGGCAAAATTTCAAGCCTCAATTTCAAGTTTTTGGATATCTGGTCATTGCATCTTGCCTATTTTATTCATGATTTATAAATAAAACCACAAATGCCACAACTAAGCAGAAGCAAAAAAGAAAAATGCACCCTGTGAGTCATATCATCAGTCAATAAAAATACTGTATTCCTTTAAACAAATGTACTTATAATAGCTTTATAACCCAAAGCAAGATATGTGAGATGGTTTAAGAAGAGGTTGCAGTTTTGCAACAAGAAGTCTGTACAGCTCCTCCAGGCAGTAGCTGTGAAGGAAGTGCTTGTGTCTCAGAAACTTGTTTCCGTCTGTTCTTGACACTTCTGCATCCCAAGCCCCATTATTTACAAAGTTATGCATTTTGCAAGCTCAAAGCACCTTGCACCTCGCAATTATGAACGCATGCAATGACATTTCATCCTTTCATGTGCAAATTCTAAAATTCATCATAACAGAAAAGCTCACAGTCGAAACTCTGTAATTTGAAATGAAAGGATCAAAAATGTCAGACATGGCAGAATACGGTTCCTAATAGAGCTCTCTTTATTTGTTCAGTGTTCTTCAGTCATTTTTGTTTGTTACAAAAATGGAGTCTTGATTCTTTATTTAAACAGTACTGAAACTAAACTGTTCATGCCATGCAAAAATAACATTTTATGCACTTTTTTTGGGAGGGAGGGGCTTCCCACGTTTTAGTTCACAGGCATTATTAACCGCATTTTTAAGAAACAAGTTTTTTTTTGTTTGTTTGTTTGTTTTAGTGTTGTTATTGCTTTTGTAACTAGTCACATGCTGGTTTCACGTGTGGGGCAGTAACCTGTGTCTCCCGGGTTGGAATGAATTTCTGGGGCAAACAAATGGTTTTCCATCTTGCACCCTTCTTGACTGTTGTCCTTTTTCACTTCTGCCACACCATGGTAAACATCTTGTCTACAGTTGTGACTTGTGTCCTGGGCAGAGGAAGAGCCCACACAGGCCTCTTCTCTTAAAGGGTCTCTTCCATCACTAGGCTTATCTGTCAAGCAGTTTGGGCTGGAGTCTGCCTGCTTGTCCCGCCTTGTGGTCCCCTGAAGCTCTAAGAAGTCATCATCTTCCCCTGTGTCGATTTCCGTGAAGCTCCTCCTCTCTCTGGTGGAGAAAGTAAAGAGTTTCTGCTTGGGAAACCGAGGCGTCAGCCCTTTGGAGGGTCCTTGACAATGAACCTCAGCGCCCAGCAAGGGTCTATCTCCCTGGGAGGGGGTTTCTTCTAAGAGGATGGTGCTGATGAGCTGGGGGGCGGTGAGTGGAAAGTCCGCCGCGGTGACCGGCAGCGGCCTGGCTGTGCTGGGCGGGGTTGGCGGGGCTCCGCCTCTGCTGTCCTTGAAGTTGACCTTGAGCGATCTGGACTTGAGCGGGTTGCTGCCTTTTAGCGAGCTCTTGGGGCTCTCGGAGGCACTGTCCGTCGGCAGGGGGCCGTGGGGCCCACCCTGGGGCCCGCCGGCGGCGTCGAGGTTCACAGTTATGTCGATCGGAGCATATTCTGGAGTGGCCTCCCTGGCCGCGGGCCCCTTCTCCCTGATTAGGGCTAAGAAGGGGGGGCCCCTGGCTCTTTGGTGCTCTTCTATCCCGGCGAGGTCGGGTGGGAACTTCATCTGCAGGTGGGACGCGGAGGGCGGCGGCAGGGGCGACCTCTCCGTCTCCGTGAAGTCGGTGGCGCAGCTGGTGAAGCTGTCGATACTGGATGTGCTCTTCATGTCCACGACGCCCTCGGTCTGTGCCACCGCCAGCTGCTCCTGCGGGCAGACCACCTCCTCCATCTCTATCTCTTCCTCGTAGGCGGACGGCCTCTCGGCCTGCTCCTGGCTATTGGGGTTCGGGTGAGAGTGAGGCTGCGTCTTGGTGATTTCATTGTACAGCATCTCCAGCTTCTGGGCGCTCAGATGCTGCGGGCTGGAGGAAGAAGTGTTGTTCAGCTGTTCATGGGAGTCTTTCTGGCTGACCTCCTGGTACTTATTCTCGTAAGACTTGTTGGAGCTGGTTTCCGATAGAGCCTTCCTGGCCCACTTCCACCGGCTTGGAGAGAGGTGATTGTCATCTGTGGAGCCCTTGGTGTTGGCCGACTCTCCAGTCTTCTCTACGGCCACGTCTATCAGCTCCATACTTCGAGCAAAGGCGTCCTTTAAGTTCATAGACACGATACTTCCGTTCCTCTTGGCACGCTCCAGAGCCTCTCTCCTCTTAATGGCTTTCTCCTGGCGTTTCTGCTCCTTGTAAAACTCAGAAAAATTGTTCACAATGATTGGGATGGGAAGGGCGATCACTAGAACCCCTGCGATACAGCAGAGACCTCCCACAATTTTCCCTAATAACGTTTTCGGGTAAATGTCTCCATAACCGACAGTCGTCATGGTGATGGTGGCCCACCAAAAGGAAGCCGGGATACTTGTGAACTTGGTAGCATCCTCGTCCTTCTCGGCAAAAAATACCAGGCTGGAGAATATCATTATCCCCATGGCCAGAAACAAGATCAGCAAGCCCAGTTCATTGTAACTCCGCCTGAGGGTGAAGCCCAGGGACTGCAGGCCCGTCGAGTGCCGAGCGAGTTTCAGGATCCGGAGGATCCGCATGATCCGGAAGATCTGGACCACGCGGCGAACGTTCTGGAACTGTAGCACACTCTTGTTGGACTCGGTGAGGAAGATGGTGACGTAATAGGGCAAGATGGCCAGCAAGTCGATAACGTTCAGTGGGCCTTTGAAGAACTTCCATTTGTTGGGTGAGGACAGGAACCGTAAAAGGTACTCCATGGTAAACCAGGCAATACACACGGCCTCCACGTGGGCCAGCTGGGGGTTGTCATTGGGCTGTCCGAATTCATCCATCTCCTGCAGCTCTGGCAGCGTGTTCAGAGACAGCGCGATGGTGGAGAGGACGATGAACAAGATGGACACGATAGCCAAGATCTGGAAAAGAAAAGAAAGGTGAGTCAGCAGCGCCTCTTAGGTGCTTAGGCACAGCCAGGAGACATAGGGGTTCACTGTTTTTTAAGTGATATGCCTTGTTCAAAGGTATTCCAAGAAGGTAACTTTACAAACACATTCACTTCTTTTCACTTGGAAGCCTAATGTGGGTAAAATAGGCAACTAATGGGAACCTACTGTATGGCACTGGGAACTCTATTTAGTGCTCTGTGGTGACCTAAATGGGAAAAAAAAAAATCCAAAAAAGAGGTGATATATATATATATATATAAATATATAAAAGAAACCTAATGCAATGGTCTAAATTCTATGGTCTAATCCATTTGAAAAAACCCATCCCCCCCACCCCCCGCCCATTGTTCTTAGGCCCCTCTGGAAGAGTTTTTGGGGAACAATCATCTCCCCTTTCTTGTGTGTGTGCATGTATGCTCAGTTGTAGCCTATCTTTGCAACCCCATGGACTGTAGCCCACCAGGCTCCTCTGGAGCAGTTTGCCGTGCCCTCCCCCAGGGGATCTTCCCAACCCAGGGATGGAACCCATGTCTCTCGCATCTGCAGCACTGGCAGGTGGATTCTTTACCACCTGAGCCACCGGGGAAGCCCTCCCCGCTCTGAGCTCTTTGTAATTTTTCTCTCTGAACCACCCAGTTTATGTTTCTTGATATGAATTGCCATACCTGCTATATAAGCTAGAAAAAAGTCATGATTGCCAGAAGTTTTATTCCAAAGAGTCAGACACAACTGAGCGAATAACACTTTCACACTTTCCAGTGGTTAAGACTCCACCTCTACCTGCAGTGGATACAGTTTCAATCCCTGCTTGGGGAGTTAAGATCCTACATGCCTCAAAGTGCAAGTGAAGTCGCTCAGCCATGTCCGACTCTTAGCGACCCCATGGACCGCAGCCTACCAGGCTCCTCCATCCATGAGATTTTCCAGGCAAGAGTATTGGAGTGGGTTGCCATTGCCTTCTCCAACATGCCTCAAGGTGTGACCTAAATAAATAAGTAAAAATGGAAAAAGAGGATAAGTGACTGATCACTGATCAGTCAGTGATCGCAGACCTATATGTAGAGAGATAACATGGCCTTGGTACAACAATGCTTCCATAGAACAAATGTGATCTGTCTGGCAAGCGCTGAAGATAGAACCAAGTCAAGGAGCCTTCATCCTGGGCCATGTGGCTTTCTGGCCAGCCTCATGAAGGAGAAGATTATGAGCTAACTTCTTTCAGTTGAGAAAGGTTTCATAAAGAAGAAACTAATGATTGTCCAAGGTGATCTTGGTTCAGGGCAGAGGAATAGCAGTGTGATGTCAGACATGGAAGGAAAGAGGAAGCACTCAATAAGAAGTAAAAAGAGGGACTTCCCCAGCAATCCAGTGGTGACTCAGACAATAAAGACTCTGCCTGCAATACAGGATACCCAGGTTCGATCGCTGGATTGGGAAGAGACTCTGGGGAAGGGAATGGCTACCAACTCCAGTATTCTTGCCCACGGACAGAGAAGTCTGGCCAGCTACAGTCCACAGGGTTGCAGAGTCGGGTGAGACTGAACACAAATGCATACAATACTAAAGTATTAAGAAAATATACTAAACTATTACTTAAAGTTTGAAGGATTAGTAAATTTTATGCTTAAAAATAAAGATGAGGGAGAGGGCTTCCCTGATGGCCCAGTGGCTAAGACTCTGAGCTCCCAATGCAGAGGACCTGGGTTCAATCTCTAGTCAGGGAACTAGACATCACATGCTGCAACTAAGAGTTAACATGCTGCAAGTCAAGATCCCAGCACAACTAAAAGATAATGCATGCCGTGAAAATGATCGAAGATCCTGCATACAATAACTCAGACTCAGCACAAGAAAGAAAAAAGGTTACAGTCTATGAGGTCGCAAAGAGTCAGATACAGCTGAGTGAATAACACTTTCACACTCCGCAGTGGTTAAGACTCCACCTTCCAATGCAGTGGGTGCAGGTTCAATCCCTGGTTAGGGAGTTAAGATCCTACATGCCTCTCAGTGTGGGGAGGAAAAAAAAAGGAAAAAGGGGATCAGTGACTGAATTTTGGTCAGTCATTCTGACCTCTGAGCTTGATTTTATTGTTCACTATATGACTTTGGGCAAATGACCTCACCTCTCTGTGTCTCAGTTTACAGATCTGTCAAATGAAGACAGCACTTATAGTTACTTCATGGCTTTGTGAAGATTGTGGCACACATACGTTGCTAAGTAAATAAATGTAGCTCTGAGAAAAATATCCTGACACTGTTTAATTTAGACATTCAGTGTTCAGCAAACAATGATTAAGTATCTTGAGACGACACAGCTCAGTAAACATGAGTCTGTGGAAAAAATGAACTATAACTGACATTAGAATTTCTGAACTTCTCTCCTCTTTATCCTTCTAAGTTTCTCTGCTTTTGGATTTTCCTCCTTACTCTGGCTCTTTTCTTTAGAGTCAGACACAACTGAGCGAATAACACTTTCACAACTTTCCAGTGGTTAAGACTCCACCTCTACCTGCAGTGGATACAGTTTCAATCCCTGCTTGGGGAGTTAAGATCCTACATGCCTCAAAGTGCAAGTGAAGTCGCTCAGCCATGTCCGACTCTTAGCGACCCCATGGACCGCAGCCTACCAGGCTCCTCCATCCATGAGATTTTCCAGGCAAGAGTATTGGAGTGGGTTGCCATTGCCTTCTCCAACATGCCTCAAGGTGTGACCTAAATAAATAAGTAAAAATGGAAAAAGAGGATAAGTGACTGATCACTGATCAGTCAGTGATCGCAGACCTATATGTAGAGAGATAACATGGCCTTGGTACAACAATGCTTCCATAGAACAAATGTGATCTGTCTGGCAAGCGCTGAAGATAGAACCAAGTCAAGGAGCCTTCATCCTGGGCCATGTGGCTTTCTGGCCAGCCTCATGAAGGAGAAGATTATGAGCTAACTTCTTTCAGTTGAGAAAGGTTTCATAAAGAAGAAACTAATGATTGTCCAAGGTGATCTTGGTTCAGGGCAGAGGAATAGCAGTGTGATGTCAGACATGGAAGGAAAGAGGAAGCACTCAATAAGAAGTAAAAAGAGGGACTTCCCCAGCAATCCAGTGGTGACTCAGACAATAAAGACTCTGCCTGCAATACAGGATACCCAGGTTCGATCGCTGGATTGGGAAGAGACTCTGGGGAAGGGAATGGCTACCAACTCCAGTATTCTTGCCCACGGACAGAGAAGTCTGGCCAGCTACAGTCCACAGGGTTGCAGAGTCGGGTGAGACTGAACACAAATGCATACAATACTAAAGTATTAAGAAAATATACTAAACTATTACTTAAAGTTTGAAGGATTAGTAAATTTTATGCTTAAAAATAAAGATGAGGGAGAGGGCTTCCCTGATGGCCCAGTGGCTAAGACTCTGAGCTCCCAATGCAGAGGACCTGGGTTCAATCTCTAGTCAGGGAACTAGACATCACATGCTGCAACTAAGAGTTAACATGCTGCAAGTCAAGATCCCAGCACAACTAAAAGATAATGCATGCCGTGAAAATGATCGAAGATCCTGCATACAATAACTCAGACTCAGCACAAGAAAGAAAAAAGGTTACAGTCTATGAGGTCGCAAAGAGTCAGATACAGCTGAGTGAATAACACTTTCACACTCCGCAGTGGTTAAGACTCCACCTTCCAATGCAGTGGGTGCAGGTTCAATCCCTGGTTAGGGAGTTAAGATCCTACATGCCTCTCAGTGTGGGGAGGAAAAAAAAAAGGAAAAAGGGGATCAGTGACTGAATTTTGGTCAGTCATTCTGATCTCTGAGCTTGATTTTATTGTTCACTATATGACTTTGGGCAAATGACCTCACCTCTCTGTGTCTCAGTTTACAGATCTGTCAAATGAAGACAGCACTTATAGTTATTTCATGGCTTTGTAAAGATTGTGGCACACATACGTTGCTAAGTAAATAAATGTAGCTCTGAGAAAAATATCCTGACACTGTTTAATTTAGACATTCAGTGTTCAGCAAACAATGATTAAGTATCTTGAGACGACACAGCTCAGTAAACATGAGTCTGTGGAAAAAATGAACTATAACTGACATTAGAATTTCTGAACTTCTCTCCTCTTTATCCTTCTAAGTTTCTCTGCTTTTGGATTTTCCTCCTTACTCTGGCTCTTTTCTTCTCTTGTGACTCATTTATACCTTTCATTGTTTTTTCTTCCTGTTTTTCCCAACTCCCACCTTTCCTCTTAGATCACTATAAAGGAAAACCATAGTTTTTCCAGAATGCAACATAGATATTAAAAGATTTACAGTTTCTTAACTTAGAGAACAGCATTTAATTACTAGTGTTTTATGTGTTTTTTCTTAAACAAAACTACTTTTTACCTGAATATACTTCAGGCGTTCCTTTAAAAATGTGAATCCACGAATGACAGGAGTATGAAGGCTCTCTTCATCTGCCCCGAGAAACTCTGAAGGCTAAAGTTAGAAACACCCTCAAGAAGGTTTAAATAAACCCATGGATAATGAATTCAGGCCTCCCAGGTGGCCCAGTGACAAAGAATCTGCTTGCCAATGCAGGAGATGTAAGAGCTGTGGGTTTGATCTCTGGGTGAGGAGGATCCCCTGGAGGAGGAAAGGGCAACCTTCTTGCCTGGGGAATCCCATGGACAGAGGACCCATGGGGTTGTGAAGAGTTGGAAAAGATGGAGCGACTGACCACACATGGGCACGGCGGATACAGAGGGTTTATTAAGGACAAGTCAGGAATGCTCACCCTGAGGCTCTACCCTCAGAGGCTAACGGAAGGGGGATATTTACAATATTCCATCACATAAATATTCTTGGGAACCATTGGTCAGGTTGCATCTACTTTTATGTTCTTACCATAAGGAACTAGGTCCTTTTCTATTTCTAGAAGGTCATACTGTTGCTGATATACCTTTGGGCATTTTTAAATACTGAGATTGCTACCATCATTCTTGCACTGATAACCCATAGTCCAGATGTTTT